GTTTAATTTGGGGGGTAGTTTTCTTTGTATGTACTGTTATTTCATATGCAAACTTTAGCAGAGAGTGTGAAACAACGGGAAACTGGGAATCTGCTGTAAGAACAAATTATGGCCATTTATAGGAGAAAACAGCAAACCCTTACATCATTACATGGTAAATTTAAACACTTTTTTNACTACTAGATCAAACCTTCTGCTTATTTTCTCAAATAACTGCATCCTCCTAACTAGTCAAACTCAACCTGCTCACTACTGTACTTCTATAGCAGTCACACCTAAGCCTTTCATGTTTGTGCTGAGTCTGTGCTCACACACTGTTCGCAACATATCTGTTAACAATCCCGGTTTAAGGTCTATATTCACTGCAAGGAATTTTATGTTTTTCTTGTGACTTCATTCCATACACTAAAGTTGAAGCAAATCAAAAACAGAATGTGGCCTACAGCTCATTAGAGACATCAAACGAAAAATAAGTAACTTAAGAGGCTCAGTACTGGACTGACTTGCCGAGCTTTAATAAAAATATAATGAACAATAGTGCAAATTATTTACACCTGCTGTAGTTCATTGCCAGAGTTACTTCTAAAGCAAATCCCTGGAGATTTGGAATATATAACTGTCTGTGAAATAAGAAACTGTGGTCAAACTGGATCTATTCATTAGATGCTTCTATCTACCCTTCATTTCTTCTACCTCAAAACCTCAACACTATCATTGATTTTCATACCCTAAGTTTAAGTCTTGCTACAGAGTATTGAGGTGTTTTTTTGCTGGAATGTTTTTGTAGTTTTAAAAATAGAATCCAATCCATAGGTAACATAGGAACGGACAATACTCGTAAAGATGGTTTTGAACCATTTGGCAGGTCCCAAAGTAACAAAACAAAAGCACTCTCTCAAATCCTTCATCGTCATTTTATGACTATGACAACAAAGGGAGTTATCAATTCCAACAGTTGATCTGCCTAAAAAAATTGGGATGATTTTACACTATAAGACCCAAGTGATTTTATAACAGGTAGGAGACTTTTTTTCCATAAATTGACATGCATACATGAAAAGTTTATTAAAAATGCTTATTCATTTTATTCCTAATTTTGAAAGTATGTCTTGTCCAATAGTTCAGATTCATTTAACATTTTTCTTAGTGTTCAGAGCAAAACAGGAAATAGTTTCCAGAGCAGATAAAGAGAATAATATGATTTAAATTGTAGCCTGAAATGATGTCGTACATATATAAAAGGCGATTCTTAAGTGAAACTTGGAGTTTCCATACATAGTTAGCAGGCAGTCTTTTTGTATGAATTGTCCATAACTAACTTCACTGGAAAAATTGCACACCTATGGAATATAATCTTAAACTATCCCTTCCAAGGATTCTTAGTTTTTTAAAAAAACATTATCCTATTTAGCTTCTCCTTTAAGAATTCATGTAAATTTCAAAATTTCTTGGCTTTTTTTTGTGCAGCTGACAAGCGTGACAAATTGTGTTTTAACCTCACTAGAGTTAAATAAGGTTCTTTTTTTTGGGGGGTCTTATCGTTGAATTACTCAAAACTTCTTAGGTCATCTTATGTAATAAGCATTTAGATATTCAATCCCCTTCTCCCATAGTACCATAAATTACAAAACATATAGAAGATTAAAGAGTATCTCAGTCCCTAACCTAATGGGCAAACTTTTAGTATTACTTGTAAGACTGCGAAAAATTGTAAGAATATATCACCTTCAATTAATGAATAGTTAGCTCAAGCTGTAGAATTGAATGTATAATTTCGAGAGCCCTTTGGAAGGCCCAGGTGTTTGGCCAATAATGATTATAATAACAAGTTACCACCTCAATAGAGAAATAGACCCAAATCAAGTAGCACTCATTACTCATCCATTCCATGACAGGATGTTGTTTCATATGTGCTTCGTGCCCTTTGCGAGATGGTATATTAAAAACATTGCTGTCATTGTAAGATTTAGATTGATTTGTGGCTTGCATTGTTGCTTAATTATATTTCCAAGAAGCAACTAATCTATTTTCATTGTTGATGGCTGGTAAGGACATTAACAGTCCTCTCTCTGTATACTGTAATAAATCTGAGTTCATATTCCTGTAGCTAGTAAGAGACAAGGCTATTGCACTGTAGTTGTGAAAATTATTGTGGCTGCACAACAGAATTGGGATCATTTTACAAAGGTCGCTAGCAAATCTGAAAACATTGTTACATCAGAGTGTCAAAGAGTGCATTCCATGATGTTGTAAACTGAACCATTAAGAAGAGTTTTCATCCAGAAATTGCCGCAATTTGAAAAAATATATATTTACCTGCCTAAAGGACCTATTCGTAATGGAAAGTACTCAATTTAACAGCAATCAAATCTATTTTATACTCGATTTGGAATGGTTTGCGTTCTGCTGTAGATTCCCAATTGACCCATTGTACAATGTCACCAAGAACATAACTCCATTGGAATGGATGACAGATTCATGCTATACTAAAATTATTATATCATATACCAAAAATTCTAAGAATATATAACCTTCAATTAATGAATATATATATACATACTATACTGCAACATGCGTAGGATTTCTTGGCCAAGTTTTTTTTTGCTGCCCTTCAAACATAGTCAGTCTGAACTATTGTAATGTGAAAACTGTCTGGTAGATTTAGAAAACAAGATGGCAAATGGTTGAAACTCTCCTGCTTTTCTATCACTTTTGATTTTTGTGTGTATTATATGCTGCCAGCTAAAACAGCCTGATTGTCACTGGCTACCTCTCCTGTCGCCTCTGCATTGAACTTATAAGTTTAGGTGTTCATAGAGACAGCATTGTTCGCTATTGCTCATCTTACATTATTACATCTGGTTTATTTTTTATTTGCTTGCTTTGGGTTATCAAAACTGATACCCAATATTCCTGCCTTATTATTGTTTCTAGTGCAAATTAGTATTTGCATTTGCTTACACAGCAGCAATAAGTACACTTGAAAATAAATTGTATGAAGTGCTTTGAGGTGCTTCAATGCGATAAGGTGATATAACAGATGCAGTATTTTACCGTAAAATTCTTGCAATAGTTCTCTGACTTAACCAAATAATGCATTGGTTCATGTACAGAATTTGCTTTGGTTGGCTCTTTATCTATCTGTATATTGAAATAAAGAGGCCCTTAGGCCTTATTCAGAGGCAGCTCTTTGTTAACTATTGCAAATGTATAATTAGATGTCACTAGTAAGAAACTACTACAATTTTTTAAGATTTCAAGGCTACTACTTCTACATAGTGTATGATGACTTATCCAAAGTAGATTGTAAAGGGAACTGACCCATCCTTTTAAAGAACATTTTAGCTAGAACCTAATTGAACATTTCTACTTGAAAGGACTGGGTCATGAGATGCAAAATTGTTCCATTTCTCAGCACTGACTTCACTTTACTTTATCAGTAAAATAATTCAGCAGAAAGTAAAAGCTCAGCAGAAATTAACAGCTTTTTTTATTCTTGTAGTTTCATTTCGGGGCATTAATTTCTGTTGGTAAGACTATCCCAATTTTATTGTACAACAGTGTAATTATGGCTCGCCTTCCATTGTTCTGAACTAATGTGCTGTACTTACACATTGGTTGCTTGTTTTTATAAGTAGGTTCATTTATGGTACTGTTGGTTGAGTGGTTTGAATAGTAATAATAAGTGATGGGAATGAAATGACAGAAATACATTGTCTTTAAAGTAACAAATGGGTTGCCTGTATTTTGTATATTTTCTCCCTATTTGGTGATTTAAACCCTATTGAATGATACTGGAATCTTGATTTTCTCACCCAGTCAATAAATAAAATTTATTGAGCAGCAGATACATTCAGCCATCAGGGAAAAAAAAGAAATGTTTGAAACATTTTTTTTAAGAATTCATATATTATATTTGTGCTTGTATGAAATTGCAGATCTAAGACAGTGCAAATGGAAAAAATAAAGTCTCGCTTGAAATCAGAATTTGATGCATTAGAATCTGAAGAAAGGCACCTAAAAGATTATAAACATGAAATGGATCTTTTACTGCAAGAAAAGATGGCACATGTGGAAGAACTTCGACTCATCCATGCTGATATCAATGTGGTATGTTCAAGAACTAAACGTTTATCACTTATTTATTTGCTGATATGTAGTAAGAATAATGATTTAAATAATATGTATATTCATGGTTTAATCTTATTAAGGCTGTATAACCAATGATTTGTTTGCCTCAATTTAAGACTTTGAATTGATTTCTGATTTTTTTTAGAAAAAAATAAAACAATGAGGCTCGAGCCCTTGATCCTTTCATGAGTGGCTACTTAGCACTAGTTTCCCCCCAGATAGGAGAAGAGTGTCCTTGACAATCTTCTGTCCTTGACTCGAGAAGAGGCTTGCAAACTTGCTAGAAACTTTTTAATGTTTCTTTTCTTAGTTCAATGAATATAAAATGGTAAGATCTGCGGCAAATACATGGGAACAGAAACAGTAGGCTGAAGGGCTGTCTTCTGTGCTGTAAATTTCTATGGATCTATGGCCTAATGAAGTGCTAATAGGAACAATGATAGTAGGATTTTCCCCTTTTTTTGTAGATGGAAAATACAATAAAACAGTCAGAAAATGATTTAAATAAATTGCTCGAATCTACAAGACGCCTACATGACGAATACAAGCCACTTAAAGAGCATGTGGATGCCCTACGGATGACTCTGGGATTGCAGAGATTACCTGACTTGTGTGAGGAAGAAGAAAAACTTTCTCTTGAGTAAGTATTTGATTCAGTAATATGATGGGGTGTAATATTGTCTGTGTAAGGTTACACATATGGTCCTATATTATTAAGTCAATTCAATTCATCTTAAATGTGCTTTAGTTCAAAATCAAAACTAAAAAAGTGACTGTAATTCTATTTTTCTCTCACATATTTCATAAATGGCCAGAAACTGTCATGAATCAGTCTCTAACAGGGAATTTATATTGGGTAATAAAAATACTCTACCATGCTCCTTTAGGATGCTAACAGGCTTATAAGATGGAAATAACATTTTCATTGGTTTGGTCTTTAGTTACTTTGAGAAGCAAAAAGCAGAGTGGCAGACGGAAACTCAGGAACCACCCATCCCCGAGTCTCTCGCTGCAGCTGCAGCAGCTGCCCAGCAACTTCAGGTGGCCAGGAAGCAGGACGCTCGACAAACCGCCACCTTCCGCCAGCAACCACCTCCCATGAAGGTAAAACTGATTAATGCTTGCGACGTAATTTAACACATTGGTGTTTTACTGCATTTTTAACCTCCCCCTCCCCAAAGCCGTTTTACAGGGTTAGCAACATCACAAATGGTCATTCTTTATCCTTTACTTTCATGGGCACAAAAATATTAACAAACTGACTTCAGCTTAAAGGGCTACAATTAGAAGAGGGAAAAACCTGTCACAGTTTTCACTCCTGTTACTGATCCAGTAATACCCTGATGTGTTTAGATTTGTAGTTGACTCAGCAGTGACGCTTCCCCATAGATGTCTGGCATAGGGGCCAGACAACTATGGCTCCTAGCTCCAATGGATCCTGAGCATAAATCTCCTTTCGTGAGTGGACAGAGAAAGTACATTTTGGGGAGTAAAATATCCAAAACAATTCGCTTCTGTCTGATATCCTCGTCATTTGTGGAAATATCAAATAAATGGCAAAATTCAGTGAAACTTGATTTACCCACTTTCAGCCACTACGCCCCAAAGCTCTGGAACACTCTCCCTCAATCCCTCCGCTTTGCCCCCTCCCATTTTTCATGTCCCACCTGAAAACCTTCCTCTTCAACTGTGCTTACGGCCACCTCCCCCACCCCACCCCCGGCTCCGAGTCAGGCTCCGCCACTGTTAAAGTGCTCTGAGATGCTATTTGTTGTTGTTGTAACCCTCTAGAATTAGCAGATCTATTTGACTCTTGTTGTACACAATGTAAAAGTACCTAAAAATAACATTAAATAATGCATGATTATTCCAAAAATGGTAATGCTCCAAGAGGAATATAACTTATCTCTCTTTTGTGTTGACAGGCCTGCTTATCTTGTCATCAGCAAATCCATCGGAATGCACCAATCTGCCCACTTTGCAAGGCAAAAAGCAGATCTCGTAATCCTAAAAAACCCAAGAGAAAACAAGATGAATAAAACTGCATTAAAAATAAACAAAATAGCAACATTTTAAGTGTGGCATTGTTACTCACATGCAAACTAAGATGTTATGTAGTTGTTTTATATTTTATTGTGTTGTAAGCACAACATTTGGTTTGTTTGCTTTTAGAAAATGACATCTTGTGCCAATAGAAAATTATCCAAAATACTTGTATCACTGTAACGTAAGGTAATATAGAGTAGAATTTGTCAATTGTTTAAATATGGAAACTAATGCATATTTAGCTACTGGAACGATACTAAAAGTAGTAATGTGAAAATCTATTTGGACTGAAATGGTGAAAAAAATTTCAAATTAATGTATTGAACTTGTAGATGTGCATTGAGCTGTACCATGGTCTCACAATTGCATAATTTGCTGAAGAACAAGTCTGCTGAAATGATGTCAAAAGCTAAGCATTTATTTATCTTTTTTTTATTAAGTTTGGAAGAGCAATATTGTTGCTATAAATGGACCAAAATATTTTAAGAATACCTCTTTAATTAACTTATCTTGAAAACATAAATTTAAGTTAATGCTGTTTTACAACTCCTTAGCTTTACTTAAGATTCTAAATAGTTAAATGCAAATGAGGCTAATTCTTTTTGGATGTACAGTTTGATTGGATTTATTAAAATACATTAAACTACAATAAGTGTTCATTAACCACTTAAAAATGAAATATTTTAAGCTTTCGTGTTACACATTTCATTGCGATTGACAAATATTCCCAGAATTTTCAACAAATTACAATTTTGATGTAAATTTTTTCCTTGTAACAAAATGTAAAGATGTAATGTTAAGCGTTGTATTTGAAAATTTTAGAATTTCCTACTTAGAAAATAAAATGATGGGGAGTTTAAGGGGAAGGATTGATGTCAAAGCAATTTCCAATTAATCAAAGTATTTTGGGAGGCTCATGCAGCAAGCCAGCAAATAAATCGAGACAAGCATTTTCATGCAGAATCCTATACATCAGAATTTTAATTATGAAGTTTACCAAGGCTGGTAAATTTCATGACACATTTCTATTTACGACCCTATTCAGTGCTCCCAAGTTTCCATCATGAGCCAGCTGTTCAACCATCACCACCACCTTAAATTACTATGGACTTCATTGGAGTGGGTTCAACCCCAGTGACGCCCAACTTGCCTTCTAAGTGGGTTATAATTGTTCTAGTAGTATACATTTTTATCAACCTCAAAGGAACGAAGGATTGAATTGTATCCACAAGTATTTCCAATTGAAAACCTATTGGTCCAAAGTATGTTTTAACTAATCAAGCTACCGGGGATGTTCTTTTGCATTATGAGCTCTTAATTTTAGCATCAAAAGTGTTAATTCCCTTCAGGGCATGAAAATTCATGGTAACTTCAGACCACTTTCTAGTACTGTATCAAGATGCAATTTAGAAATGTGCTATATATCTGATTAGTGTAATGTATTCCAGAATCTCCAGTTCTTGAGGCGAGTTTATACTGCAGGGGGGTGGGGTAGAGAAGGAAAACGATTTGCTAAACAACTCTATACCATTACTTGCGAGGTTGGAGTCTGGTTAAGTACATTAAATGCCAATGTTTTAATAATAATAATCCTTGCATTTGATATAGCGCTTTTCACGTCGGGAGGATGTCCCAAAGCGCTTCACAGAACACACTGTAAAGTGAATTGACTGTATATTTGTGGGCGAACGCGGCAGCCAATTGCGCACAGCAATGTCCCACAAACAGTCGTAGATTGAAAATGACCAATTTATTATTGTTTTGTTTTTTTGGAGGGATTATTATTAGGCTCTGTGTGGAGTAAGGAAACTTGCCCAAATTTGACAATGGAAATTACAGCAAAGTTTGATGCTGTTCTTACCTGAAATTCAGACAGACATTTATCAGTCTGGATAGTGATCAGGAACAGGAATATTAGCAGATATTTTTACACTCACTAATCCAAGAGTACTAAATATTATGTGAATGGATTCACAAATATCTCAGTTCAAAACCTACTGGTCCCAAGTATGATCTTTTAATTGACAGAGCTACCTGAGATGTTCTTTTGCATAATGAGTTCTTGATTTCAACAGACTGTGTGACATCAGGCGTCCAGTTGTACGAAATGCAGCTGCTGCTGCTTTTGCTGATATTAATTAATGGACAAGAGAATGGAACCTGCCTACTTGTTCAAGTGGACTTTACAGATTCCACAATACTATTCGAAAAGGAATGGGAGTTTCTTCTGGTTACATAATTAAAACATTATAGTTTTTGCAAAATACATTAATATCTAATTCTCAAGGGGCTTGGTACCCCTAATGTCAGCACACTGGAACACAGCTATGCCCATTTCAATTATCTTGGATCCTTAAGATTACTCCTGTTTTAACAAAATGTTTCTGGAATAGCTTTTCAATCCCAGATGGTCCTAACCATCACCAGTGAGAAATGCTAAGAGAAATCTGACATCCAAGGCATTTTAATCTTCTTGCAAACATTTCATCCCATTTAAATGCAAAATTATAAGTTGTACAAATTTAGTCTGTTTGCACAAAAGAATAACTGGATAACCACTTGTACTTTACTGAGGATTCTAGGAAGATTGAAGGACTAAATGAAGTGTAGATTTAAAGCAGTAATTGAATCTAAGAGTTCTATAGAGCTTTGATCTTGTTGTCTTTAACACCAGAACCCCAGAATTTAATTATGGGTATTTATAGATCCGCAGAGGCTCCAAGAATTGGAGATTCTGGAATATATTACACTAATCAGATATACAGCACATTTCTAAATTGCATCTTGATACAGTACCATTTGTATTCAAAATCCTCCAAAGATCGATCTCTTCAATCTTACCTCTGGTCACCTTTAAATTCCTTCCACTTCTTACTTTGTTGCCACTGCTTCCACTAAGTGATTTGAAACATTCTTTTATAGGAAAGAAGCTATATTGATGAAAGACTAGCTAAAGATTTAATTTTCCTAGACGTTTTGCTCAAAGTCTTCACAATGGTAGTTTTGGGCAACTAATTTCCAATTTGAGTTGAATTACATTGAATTTAAATTCAGCTCTGAAATCAAGGAAAATCACAATAGATACTGATCATTCACATTACTGCGACAAACTGAATAACATGGTCCTAAACCTTATAACCAGCATTTAAGTTTGTATACTGTAGTTTACAAATTAGTATTAAAATATTTTTGGTGTAAATTTGATCGTATGGATATTAAACAGTATTATTTGGCCACAGAAAACAATGTCAAATTACGACAAAAGATGCTCAACTTTATTCCACTAAATCCAAATAGGTAATGCAAACAAATACAATTGGGTGATCTCAATCTAGTTCCTGGGTAGGCTTAAGATCACAGACCAAAACTTTAATTGGCCATTAATCGTCCACCTTATTTAACCTCATAAATGCGCAAAATTGAAACTTTACATTCAATTAGTAGGGGTTGTGCTTCTGACGTTCAGTCAAGCATTTCTTATAGTAGATGGAATTTTATGAGGATCTGGCTATACTATACTTATTTGGGAATATTTCATATTAACACTGGGGCCTGTAATGCAAGAATTACAGTACACTCCTGTTTTCATCCTTGTTTTGATCAAAACAAAAATATCAAGTACACCCAAAACAAAAAAGCAAGAACAGAAAGGTTACAAACCAAATTTTATAAAGACAGCAGAGTGAGCACAAAAAAATAGTATTCCATTAAGTGTGCACTAAATTGTGCAAGCTGGATATAATAAATACTATGATTATGAAAATAGATCATTTTAGGTCATCATGTTATTGCATCCTATTTGCATGGATATTTAAAGTCTACCGCTGGCTATAGGTGCTTGAAAGGTCTTCCCAATTGTTTTTTCATCTGGAGACAATCTGACCAAGTCATCTACCCGTAGAATTGTAACTGCAGCTTCAGTAGCAAATTTAATACTCTTTATTTTCACCACTGCAGGTTCAAAGATCCCAGCTTGTTTACAGTCATGTGGTCTCCCATTCAGAAGATCCAAACCGACCCTGAAAATAAATTAAGTTTGACTTTGTACTTCAAGAGAATGTCACAATCGATTGATTTTGAATGCCTTGGCACGTCCTCCCGACGTGAAAGGGACTTTACAAATATAATTTTGTGTTGTATTGTAATCATGTATGATCAGCAGTGCTAAAAGGCAACATTATAGAACGTGAAAAGTTTCTAACCATGCTAACACTTAACATTCAGTTTTATCTCGGTAGTTTTTTTTAAAAATGATTTATTACACCATTCTTGTGTGTTAAAATGGGGAAACAAGTTTTTTTTCAATAAAATATTCATATAAATAAAGACTATAATACAGAAAGTTATTCCCTGGACATATAAAGTTTGCTGATTAGTTAAATTGCTCATTTTGTTATTACTGGTAATTTCTATAGAGTACAAACACAATTCTATGCAAGCTGGCATCATGTACAGAAAGATAATTGAGTGCTGCATTAACATTAGGTCGCCTGTTAAACAAAGGAGGAAAGTCTGTAATATGCTACACATGGAGTTTGCATAAAGCCCCTGTACATACTACAGTTTAAATGGCTTGCATACAATTTACAATAATTTATTTGTATTCGTATACTTACCATTTGAAGTGGTTTCTATCTGGATTAGTTTGTGCTTGATTATGGAAAGCTCTCATTTTAGCTACCAAATCTATAGAATCTTGTGCTGCATTTACAGCCAGTGTTTTAGGAATAACAAGAAGTGAATGTGCAAATTCTGCAATAGCTTGCTGCTCTCTGGATCCCTAAAACACAAATGAGCTATTTTTCAAAGGTCAAGTTTACAGAAGGAACCTCTTAACATAGCTCTTATGTATTTTTTAATAATGAAAATGATGGTAACACATGCAAAACATGATATTAATAATAATAATACTTGATATAGCACCTTATCACATCGTCAAGAAGTCTAAAAACACTTTACAGGATTCACTGTAAAGTAGTGTGATGTGTATTTTGGGTCAAAATGATACATTATATCCTTACGAGGTAGATAACTGTGCAAAATAAACTAAAGTGAAACCGTGCAATTCCTGAACATGTTTGGGTCAGACAACTGGCAGAACCAAAAAAACCTTTTTAAGAAAAATACCATAGTAGTTGCAAAGTTTTCCAAATATATGGACAACGCAGCTTCCACAGCTCCACCTCCAGGTACAACAAACTTGGATTCCAATATTTTCTTTACCACATTTATGGCATCGTTAACAGAACGTTCCAGTTCATCACATACAAAATCATTGGCTCCATGCAGAATGAGGGAGGATGCAGTTCTTGCTTTAGGACTTGCAAAGAATAAACTAAGGTCAGTGGGTATGAAAGGTAAAATACAAATTAGTAACTGGTTAAAGGGAATAAAACAGTAGTTGTAAACTGGCAATATACACTGTGAGGAAGTGAAACAGGTGCTATTGCGGGGGAAGGTGGTCTACAATGTGTGTGCTTCATCATAACAGCTGATAAGGGTAATGGTACCTGCACATTTATAAAACTTCTTCATCTAGGACAGTATTTACTATTGGGGCTTTAGCTCAAAAGCTTAAGAACAAGTCTTCTCTACAAATCCCTATGGTCAATCACAAAATCCCTATGGTCAATCACAATAGTGCTTTGAATTACTAAAACTTTTCATATCGGATTCCTCAGAGCTATTTCAACCAAGTAATGGCATTCATTATATTGAGATTACAAGGATGAAAGTGTCAATAGACACCAAAGCCTTCTGGTCTAGAGTTGTGTGCTCTGGATGTTACAAAGCATTCAGGCGGGGGTGGGAGAATAGAAAAGAAAGAGGAAATAGAGTTTCATTACAAAACAAGATGCTTACTTTTTGATCAGAATTATATTACGACTATCACTTTCTTGCACAACTTCTTCTGCTTGACCCAGCATTGATGCATCAAAGGTCTCCTCTCCCTCAAGATTAACTAAAGATGAGCAGATTGTAGCTGTACAGACAATTGGTTGGTTACAGAGTTATTATGATTAACAAACATCTACTTGTTTTCTTTAATTTAAATTTAGTTAGCTTCATCTTAACTTAAATTTAACTTCACCCACTAACATTTGAAAATTGTAGATAGTATTTTTTAAATTATAGCCTAGACTTGGAGAACAGACATCCCCACATCAATCCTGGCTACATTCTTGGCCTATTAATCATATACAATGACATCATACTAGTCATTAAATTGCAATATCATTGTATTGGAAAAGATTGTCTGATGCAGACACTAATCAAAGTTCACACAGAAAATGAACTGACCGCTGAAGCTATTACAAGACCAAAATGCTAGCTGCAGGGTGGTGCAGCAGGTGAGACACTGGTTTCTCAGCTCTGAAACCAGGATCCGAAGATATTAATCCATGTATTTGCATTTGATAATGAAAATCTGACCAATGAAAATCTTTTGGCTACAAGGGCCCAATGAATGTCTCAAATGGACTCATAGCAGAAACCACCTGGTTAGTGGTACCTCTGTCTACCAGACTATTGGGTCAACCTGGAACTTTAAACTTGATTATGAAGGCTATCCAATGGGCAATTGTGTCAGGCATATTTTATAACCTAATTTAAACTGATTATCATTCTTATGATTATAAAGAGATTGGAATAATTACTTACACAGATAAGCTCATTTACCTCCAGTTGCCTTAGCAATTCTCATCAGGTGTTTTTTTTCCACATGTTTTATAGCCATTGCACCTACATCAACAAAATATTTAAGGCACATATCATCAATTCCGCCAGTGGCCACAAGTACATTTGTTCCTGCAGCCAAAATCTTTTGAATACGTTCCTTTGTGATATCATATTCTCTGCAACACAAAATAAATGCAATTTGTATAATTGTGGAAATGAAACGTCATTAAAAAAAAGTTGAAGACAACTCGTGTGTGCCAGCAAAATATCCCCACACAGCACTGATTGGAATAAAATAAGTCTAATTCCAGACTGATAAACATATGTAGCTGCAAAACATAAAACTAGCTATTTTACAAACAAATGTCATAACATTTCTTAAGTTCCATCATCGGTTGTTAAAGTCTTACCTCTGCTGAATTAACTTGACTTTTGAAGGGTCTGTGATCAGAATTTGTACTCCAAGTTTCATCTTTACCTTCTGTAGACTGAAATCCAAACAAGCAATCTTTGCATTGACAATTCGTTTGGTCATTGCTTTTAACAGAAAAAAGATAAGTACACTTTAAAATTCTGCAATGTTCTCATTGGAATTTAAAAACGTTAGGCAGTCATCTCGACTCTCTTCAAATTGATTACCTTTCTAATCACAGATCATGTCAAATAGACCTATTTATCTTCCCAAAGAAACACACTTAAAGGCAACCGGTTCCATAAAGAAAATTACAAAAAAATGTATGATTAACTGATGATTTCAATGTACTAGGTTCTAATTATACAATAAGTAATATCAGTGCTTAGTGTGATCAGGAAAGCATAACAAGAATAGTAAGCAATGAACAAGATTGGGACCAATTAAGCAGGTGGGATAAGAAGTAGCAGATGGATCTTAAATCATAACAGAACCAGATAACACAGGTTTAAATTTAAAAGGTCTCAAGTGGAATGACAGATTAGATTTTTTTTCTCTAACAAAGAATACTAGATATGTTGAACAAAAAACATACAATGTTGATTAACTCCTTTGGAAAAGAACTGAATAAATATCTGTTTGGGAAACTATCAGTGGACACTTCTTGCATAATTGAGTCAGTTTCAGTGCATGTCTTGGATATGTAGACCAACCTCTCAAATACAGATTATGTATAGCATACATTAGTGTTTCTCTAAGACTGAAGACCAGGAATGGTACATGATAACCTCATAGATGATCCTCATCAGATTTCTCTTTAGAATGAATGACCGAACAAGCTAATTTACTAATTAAGGTTAAGTCACATTTTTAAAAGAAACCTAGACAGCAGTTACTGTTATCAAAATGGTTGAGAAACACTGGAGTAGGTTAACTACTGGAAGAAATATACCTTAAAAGGACAGCCCCCCTACTCCCAACCGCCAAAAATAAAAATAGCACTCTACAAAAAGATTACATACATATCATTCCCTCCCCCTTGATACTAAATGTATCGGACATCATGAAGCTCCTGTTATATTCCATCTTAAAGTTTTATAGTTCTATTAGTTATATAAGATAATACACTAAAACTCTCCCAAATTGTAGTCAAACATTAGTATATAGTCCTCAAACTATCAGAAGGAAAATATGTCTTTTAATAATGACTTAAACTTGCAAAATAAGTTTTGAACAAATCTGGAATTACCTTGAGCACCCACCACAGCATTCAGGGCATATCCATTTATCAAAGTGCTTTCTCTCTGGCTACGTCCATGTGCCTTTAGCACATTAATAGAATTAGTAGAATAGCAAGTCTGCCCCTTGTTATCAGTAAATCTCACTGCCATAACCGCCTCAACCACCATGTTTGCAAAGAGATCTGAGTCAGTAAATCCATTAAGGCAAATACAAATCACTGTGTTTACGATGGACAATATCATAGATCAGTATTACATCAGCGTGTTAACTTTATTCCTCTTTAAATTACCCAGAGTACAATATAAGTATTAATAGAATGTTTGAGAATCAGTTACTCGAACATAAATTAATGAATAAACCGTTAATCAAAGTACCATTTTAGAAAATCATAATTACAACTGAACTTTTACTTTAATATTCTTTTGTTTCTTTATCTGTTGCTTTAAAAATATGTTTAAAATTATGTGCTGATAACATTTGTGTATTAATATAAGAATGCGAACGATTTGGGCAAAGGTACTGTTCAAACTCAAAGTTAAATGACTGACATCTCCTACTATCCGTCTTCCCATGTCTTATAAACTAGTAACACGATTAATATCAATAACACTAAAGTGTACATATTTATCCAAACATAAAAGCTGCAGGTAACAATTACCATTTTGTTTCACAGAAAAGGATATATTCCAATTATCTTGGAAGACATTGATGTCTTAGCTGCATTAACAATACATTCTCTTCCTAATTCATCAGCACTGATTGTCAAATTTTCATTAATATATCGGACAGCTTCTCTGAGAAGACACAAAAGCCAGAGAATTCAACTAATATCATTTAGACGTGTATGATGGTTTTGATCTTACATTTGCTTCATCTAATTGCCAAACAGGATAAATTTGACAAGACTTGAAATTCACCAGCCCTAGCATGGTGAAATAACAGGTCAGTCTTAAAACACAAGTTTACTTTGTCATTTACACTGCACATTGGAGCACTTTACAATCACTTGACCTGCTGACATGAAGCCCCAATGGATAACCGTGGCTTGGAAGAGACTCCCTGTATATCAGCCCTCAAATATTTTGCCTGGGGCTTCAAAAGGCCCAATTTTTTTCAATTCAAATGTATGTATTTACTGCTTGAAAATTACCTCAGTTCTACATCCTCTAATGGGCTAAGGAAAGAAAGACAAACGTGTAACTTACTTGCAAGCCAATTGATATCCAATGATAATACAATTGGGATGAATTTTCTGTGCAACTAAATCTTCTGCATTCTTCAGGAGGTCTCCAGCAATAATAACCTATCGATTAAAGTTTCAAGTCTCAAAGTTACACGTTCTAAGTTTAGAAACCCTTGAATATTATTTATTTGTTTTGTTTTAATAAAACATATACAATTCAAATAGTTCTAGAGAGTGGAACATTTTGTACTACATTTTGTAATACAAATACCGTTATGAACATCTCCAAGTCTCCACACGTTACGGTAAATCCTGTCAAGTGCTTTGAGATGTCTTGACCATGGGATACAATGCTATACAATGCTCAAATGCAAGGATTATTATTGTTATATTTACTTTTTTAAATTGGAACACATTTCTCTGCAACCCCCCCCCCCAAAAAAAAAACTTACCACGGATGTGGTGCCATCTCCAACCTCTCTATCCTGGAGCTGTGCTAACTCGCACAAAATCTTTGCAGCAGGATGCTCCACATCTAGTAGTTTAACAATTGTTGCTCCATCGTTTGTAATAGTAACATTCTTGGAAGAATCAAATATTAATGAAATTCATAGGTTGCTGATACAATTTCAAAAGTGCTTCTGATTGGAAAATATAATTATATTGTAAAAAAAGCACTAACCAGTTCTCAACTGGGGCGAGAAAAAGGAAGGAACTTACCCCAGAAGTATCTACAAGCATTTTATCCAATCCCATTGGTCCAAGGGAACTTTTTAATACATTGGAAATAGATACTGCTGCAATAACTGAAATTTAAAATGGTTGGTAATTTAGAATTTACCACGTGTGACAGAAATATCAGGATTTGTGGTCCCATCAATTACATTTCATAGGGCTCAAAGAGGCACTAAGACAATCTGACCTTGAATTTGAAATGACTACTGAACACAGCATTGAACATCAATACTGATTCAATAATTATACCAAGGAACTATCTTAAGCAGTCTGACATCACTATTCTGGCACAAAATACCACCAATCTCTTCCTGTGATTTAACAACTGAGGGAGAAGCAAAGTTGACTCCACTCACCAAAATCTCCAATCTGTTTATGTGTCATCATATCTTTTGGAGGAATCACAAACCCTGTACTTACAATACATGCTTCCCGCTAGTCTGATACCTTCCAGAACATCATCACTCCTCCTTTTCACACCAAACTACTTTTACCAAAAAAAGCATAATCCACTTACATCACTCAAGATGTGGAACATCTGTATGCTGTCAAGTTACACGGATCTCATGAAATACCGGGATAGCAAAAAAAAAGTTGTTGGTGCCATTAGCCTTAAATTTCGAAAAGGGTTTTGGCTGGGATGCTGCAAGATGAAATATTGTACGGCAACCTTTTATCGCCATAAAAAAAAAACCCCTCTTCGTAAGTTAGGACTTGCACTTTCTGACACCCTTTATATTCTGACCTCATAACATTTCTTAGCGAAAAAAAAAGGTCCCAACTGCACATTGTTTGGACCGAACACTTGCTGCCCGTTGCCGTAGTTCTCTTAAAAGTCTAGACTTGCCACTGGGGGAAGAAGCACTGCAAATAAAAATAAAAAAAAATACAATAATAAATTGGGTCACTTCAGTCCACGACTGTTTGCGGGACGCTGCGGTGCACAATCGGCTGCCGCGTTTCGCCCGCGAACATACGGTCAATTCCCTTCGCGGCCATGTTCTGTGAAGCGCTTTGAGACGTCTCGAAGACGTGAAAAGGCGCTGTATCGAACGCAAGGATTATTATTAATATCATTATCGTTGTCGTCAAGCGATGGGTGCCCTTCAGGCGAAGGCATGTGTTTAAATCAATGTCCTGCGAAACGTCTGGAAAAAAAGGGGCTTCGGTTCTTTCTCCCTGGACTTTCCCCGAGAGAGATTCGGGTGAAGAACACCCCACCGCCTGCCCCCCGGGGCCTCCTGTCAGCCTTCCGGAAGAACCCACCAGAAAGCCGCCGTTTAATTTATTGATCGATCGATTGATTGATTGATTGATTGATTTGGTGGGAATTGCGTTCGACGCGTCCGAAGCTTTTCGAGTGAGTTCACACGCACCGTTTTGAGTGCGGACCGACTGCCCGAACTCTCTCTGACCGTGGAATAGGAAAGGGCCGCGGGCCTGAGACGACGACGACGCCGCCACCGCCGCCGCCACCATCATCGTCGTCGTCGTGTTCGTCTTCGTCCCACCCGCCCCTCGGCTCGACCGACAAACAGCCAGACAGCGCACGCGCACCTCTTGCGTTCTCTCCTCCCCCCGCCCCCCCCGCGCGAGCGTGCGCGCACGCCAACGACCGTTATTATTTAAAAAGACGGACTAGACCAATCGGAGCGCACAGAGCTGCGGCGCGCGCGAAAAAGAGAGCGCGAGAGAGAGTCAACTTAGGCGACGGCGTGGGAGCGCGTGAGGCTTCAGGGCGGCCGCGAGGGGACCCGAGAGTCTGTCAGACTGGAGAGGACTCAGCACCGCCCCCCACCCACCCCCAACAGCCTGAGTGTGTGTCTGTCAGTCAGACTGGAGAGAACCCCCCCCCACCCCCCCCAACAGCTTGAGTGTGTGTGTGTGTCAGACTGGAGACCCCCCCCCCCCCAACGGCTTGTGTGTGTGTGTGTCAGACTGGAGAGAACCCCCCCCCCCACCCACTTGAGTGTGTGTGTGTGTGTCAGACTGGAGACCCCCCCAACAGCTTGAGTGTGTGTGTGTCAGACTGGAGACCCCCCCCCCAACAGCTTGAGTGTGTGTGTGTCAGACTGGAGACCCCCCCCCCCAACAGCTTGAGTGTGTGTGTGTGTCAGACTGGAGACCCCCCCCAACAGCTTGAGTGTGTGTGTGTGTCAGACTGGAGACCCCCCCCAACAGCTTGAGTGTGTGTGTGTGTCAGACTGGAGACCCCCCCCAACAGCTTGAGTGTGTGTCAGACTGGAGACCCCTCCCAACAGCTTGAGTGTGTGTGTGTCAGACTGGAGACCCCTCCCAACAGCTTGAGTGTGTGTGTGTGTCAGACTGGAGACCCCCCCCCCCCCAACAGCTTGAGTGTGTGTGTGTCAGACTGGAGACCCCCCCCCAACAGCTTGAGTGTGTGTGTGTCAGACTGGAGACCCCTCCCAACAGCTTGAGTGTGTGTGTGTGTCAGACTGGAGAGGACCCCCCAACAGCTTGAGTGTGTGTGTGTCAGACTGGAGAGGACCCCCAACAGCTTGAGTGTGTGTGTGTGTGTGTCAGACTGGAGACCCCCCCTCCCAACAGCTTGAGTGTGTGTGTGTGTGTGTCAGACTGGAGACCCCCCCCAACAGCTTGAGTGTGTGTGTGTGTGTGTCAGACTGGAGAGGACCCCCAACAGCCCGAGTGTTTCCCTGTTACACTGGGTGACGGGGGGGGGGGGGAGCCTCTTGACCCCAAACGACGTGAGTCTGAATGATTAACCAGGACTGAAGCCTGTTCAGAGACATTGACACACACCAACGCTGTTGGATCAAGATGTTTCCCTTCTGCCAGAAGCCTTTCCCCAGTCATCACTGACCTCCCCGAAATGACTTGTCGGCGCTTCCCGATCTCCCGAGGCCAATTGTAAGTATCCTGGACTACAGTTCATCCATCCCAGGGCAATGTTTTCCAGCTTCTTAATGTCCTCCCAGACTCATCCCCTTGTTCAGACCTCACATGAATTACGATGACCACTCGGGGACAACTTGTTGTTTTTATCCTTCCAAGTGGGTAAGGAAACCTCTCCAGCCAAGTCGTTTAAATTTGTTTAAATCTGAGCTGTTAGCCCTCATGTTCAAGTCCCTTTGGGTTTAACTTCCTTTTGCTATTCCATTGCTTATAATTTTTTTGGGGGGTGATATTTTGCTTCCAATGTGATGGCCTAGTTTTACTATCTGGGCCTTTCTTACAATAATTCTCGCGTTTGATGCAACTCCTATAATGCAAAATGTCTTTAAGTACTTCAAAGGGAATTGCTCTCAGGTGCAGTGGCTATGTTAGTTAGACATGCCCTGTTTTGAATGGAGTCAAATCAATTTAATACATTCCAGCACGGAATTTAGGTCATTTATTTAGCCCAACCAGTCCCATTTGCTAATGTTTATACGAGCCTCGAACCTCTCCAAAAAGTTAAATAAAATAGTTTTAAAATTAAAGCATACGTTAGTTCTCCTCTCCCCTTAAAAAAGGATGTAGGACGTACATTAATTTATTTTCTTACCACTCCCTAATTTGGAAACACAATATTCATGGAATCATTGCCATATATTTGTTTCAACATCAGGGGGCGCCTTGTGTTAGCTTTTAAGATTTTTTTTTAGTAAGAAGCATTCCGACCTGTGCCTTCAGGAATGAAGTCTAGGAATCGATCTAATCAGGGAAAACGGTAGTAAATGTTTATTAAATTCATATGACGAATTCTGATTTTATCATTCACGATCAAGAACTGCTCACTGGAAGATACTACCTTAGACAGGGGAACTTGCCTTGCTGTGCATGAATTGACTGCTGGATTTTCCGACAGTACAACGTATCCTGCCATGCCCTTTGAAACAACTGCCTGATGTGAAACATGCCATATTTTCAATTCCAGAAGAAAGCAAATTAGTTATTTTAAAGCATGCACAATTCAACACACATACAATCCTGTTACACCTAGTAACCCGAAAAGATCAACATCACATCACAAAATTATTTTTGTTCTTACTGCATCTAGGCTAACAGGAAGATCATTTAATAATCCACCTACTACAACAGGACATTAATAACTACGAATACACCTACACATGATGGAGTTTTGGTTACATTGTGGTGGGTGTTTAAAACTTTCATGAAATAATTTTTCTTGTTAGATTGCCTCAACTGTAGATACAAGTTCATGTTTCTGTGAAATGACATTTGGTAAATTCGAAATCTCACTCAGAGGGACAACACAATGACAAAGTGGGAAGTGGAAAATGTTAAAACTGTTGCAGTCTGGTTTTTTGAGTTTTGGTATTGTAGAGATTGGGGCATAGTATCTAAACCTGACCTAAGATTGCATGGTGTTGATATCAAAAGCCCGAAATGGAAAAGTTACACTTCCTAGAACTTAGCCCTTAGCTAGTCTTAGCTTCAGTTGTACCTTTTAAACTGTTCCTTATCTTAAATTGAAGAATAATACAGCTTCAACTATTCTAATACTTGAATGTATATTGTAATTGACAGTCAATTGCAAATCAAATCAGATTTATTGGAGAGGCGCAATCACTGTTCCACATTACAAAGCTGAGTGTTCCAAAAACAAGCTTTGTTGCCTTCTGAGTGGGGAATTCTCTCTTGAAACATTATGATGATATCTTTAGAGTTTACCTAAACAGGCAGACGAGTATTCAGAACAGGTAGATTTAAAACAACCTTGGAACAGTCACAGAATAAATGAACCATGGACCCCACCTTATTGCAGCAGCAAATCACTCCTAATTATTTCTGTGGTATCTTATAGTTCTGCTCAATATTTGTTGAACATCCATATCTCATCCTAGGGTGAAATTCACACCTCTGCCAACTTTTGGTTTTGTGCTGAAGTTGCAATTCATCAATCTTTCGAGTGTAATATAATTACATTTTGCATGCATTTCTTTCTGCGGGATGAGAGGAATATATACATTGAGTACTTAACTAATGAAACGTAACATGGTTCAGAAAATTGTATTTTCTCACTGTTTAAATAATGTTCACTAAAATGACAAGTGACAATTCAGTTCAATACATATTTTAACTCATACTTTGGGGACAGTGTAAGTGGAGGATTTGTATTGTGCACCTGCATTTCAGAAATCTCTGGCTTGCTTTCTCGTAGCCCATTTCAATCTGTTCAAGTTTATCTGTGCCTGAAGGAACCACCAGGGTCAATTTTTCATACCGTGTATATATCATCATAGTTCTCTACCAAGGTATACAAACTGTATGCTCGCAATTCTTGGCATTACATTATTAAGATCACATTAAACCAAGTCTCATTATTCTCTACACATTCTTTGGTTTTAGTTTCCCCTGAAATATGTTAAAAAGTCTATTTTTTGTGTTCTGCTGAAATGAAATAATGTGCATGTGAGGCTTCATGCAAATAAGAAAATCACGTCTTCAAAACTACTTGAGCCCTAACTACAATCCGTGCAGATTTTGATGTGCATTTCAAAATAACAAGCGTTACTCATTTAAATATTACTGATAAAGCAGTTATGGTAATTTACTTCAACAGAATATTGAATAAGTTGTTCCTTATGTAAGCATAACATTCAGATATAATGAGACATTCAGGACAGATTAAATTTATCAATCTCTGACTACTGGACTTGTATGTAAAATTGTGCCATTTTTCTATTCATTGGTTCTGCCGCGGTGTTAAATTGGCTTGATGTGTAGCATTTTAGTCTTGGTTGGAAACATGGGGTTCAAGGCCTAGGTCAGTGCTTTTGAGATTTAGGCTGACACTGGTGCATTGTTGGAGACACCATCCTTTAGCAGAGTTAAAGTGTGTCTGTTCAATTGGATGTTAAGGAGCCCAGGTTACTTTTGGCAAAGAAAAGGTAGTTTCTCCTGGTGTCATGGCCAACAAATCCTTAAGTTAAATTAGTCATTCACCTTGTTATTTGTGGGACATTGCTGTGTGCAAATTGGCTGCGACATTTGCCTTAAATACAGTCACTACAATAATTACTGTGAAACGTTCTGAAGATGTTTTGACGTGATAAGGTGCAAGGTCAAATCTAAGGTTTATTATTAGATTGCAACTCTCTTCAGCTGATTGAACCATCCTGCACTGCTATTTTTTTCCCTGAGGATTATACTGTACTATGAATTCTTATGCAATTAGCCAATGAAGACTGTAATTTAAATTGTAAGAGTATAAGGTATATAGGGTCTAATCGCATTAAAACATCTCAAAAGTGCTTTGCAGATAATGAAGGTTAAGTAAAGTAACTTGAATTGTAGGCAAATTAAGATATCATTTGCACCAGCAAAGTCCACAAACAGTTGTGAGGTGAATAACATATTAATATGGAGGATTATAGTTGGAAAAACAAATTAACAGAAATATCCTGACTTAAAATAATGAAAGGCATGGTACATAAAAATTCCACACATGAACTAAAAAAAATTATAAACAAATAGTTAAATACAATGAACAAGTA